CACATCCGATGCAAGTGCAAGAACCGCAGCGTTCTCCAACAATTTTAGGGAGTTTCTTCGCTAAATTTTCTCGACTATTCCATGTTTCTACTTTCACTAATCCACTGTTGTTCCTTGCTGATCTGTCAAACTCTATAATGCCAACGTAGGATCCGGGAGGAGCTGAGTTGACTATGAAATAATTGGCCGCTTTCTGCATTTGATCAAAACGAGTCTGAAAACATGAATACTTTACAAACAGGAAACAAATGCTAATAGTCATATGAATGCATCAAAAATTCACACCTCCCCCGATGTTCCATCAATTTCATTCATGCTTCCCGAAACGTCGAGTACGAGAACAAATCGCTGGGAGTCTTGCGCAATTTTCACACTGAAAATTGGATCAACTTTGTTGGAAGCTTCAGTAGGTGGATTTTTATTTCCTTGAAAATCAACGGACTCTTCAATAACATCCCACACACTTCTTAGGCCACACAACCGGTTCTGCTGGTTTGGCGCGTTCATATTATGATTAGTTTCATCACAAAATTCAACAATCTGAAATTATGTATATATATATAATAATATTTGCAATCTACGGCAATATATATACTACAAAAAGACAACAGATAGAGTAAAATTCAAACACAAAATACCTCTTCGTGATATTGGTAAGACATCAAGGATGTATTGTATCTTACATCTGAATTTCCTAGATAGCAAATACAATCTTCTGTATAAAGCCCATGTTCAATTTGACAACTGGATGTACCCAATCTACATTCTTGGTTTGTGTTTTCAACACAACATACCCTGAAATCTTTTGGACACCTGTTACGAAAACAATTTCAGAACTCCTTCACTTCGTTTGTAATGTACTTTTTTAAATAATAACTTTTCTTAAGATGGGAAAGAATGTTGGCATGGCCTTTGAAAGCAATTTACCAAATAACAAGGGCTGCTGTCACACTGAATTCTCTGTAATAAGAGATAGAAGTATCAAAAATACGGAGACTAACTACGACGCACGTTATGGTCTTATGAAAGTTGTGTAGGCGATAGGAATAGTATCGTGTCGCTTCCCTCGTTTTATTACCACTATGGAAATTTGGGTTGGTTTTCGACAAGAACCCTCAGCCCTGCGGTAATGAAACAGCGAAACAATTGTACGTAACAAAAAGGCAGAGAGGACTTATAAAATATCGGCGATGCGAATCATCGGGGCACCGTTACATCATTAGAAATATTGCTGATACCACACGATTGATAGATAGATTTGGTAAGAGCTAATTTACACGAGTCAAATGCATTGCCATAAAATGCAATATAATACCGCCAGCAGCTATTCATTTTAGGCTGGTCACCACAACCAGGCCCAAGATTCATATATAAGGGCCGTACTTCGCCATCAGTATTCTGGTCGGTTGCCAATTAGTAAACTATAAATAAGTCATTGATTCGAGTAACAGGTAAAACACGGTACAATAATAAAGTAAGGGATATTTTTTACTTTTTTTCAATATCTTAAACAAAAATGAAATAATTTACTATTTCATTCGATTCAAATATGATTTTATTTTCAAATATTTCGACGTTATGTGCTTTTAAAGTCATTTGGATAATAACAAGACTTACTGCGTGGCTGAATTTAGATATTGGCCTGTATTATCGTCATATAAAGAATTTCCATCAACATCATCATAGAATGGATTAGCCTCCGATGTTTCATCAAAAATTCCCCATCTATAATGGGCCCATTCGTGAACAATTGCTTTGCCTAGAAAATTCAACGATATTATCCTTGAAAAGTGAAATCGTCCACAGCTTTATCCCTAAATGCTTTCTAACATATATGTTTCTGTAGTTAGAATATTATATTAGTCGATATATACACGCCAATAAAAGTGGTTAAGTGATGGAAATTTGGTGTGATAGAACCCTAGGTATCTCTAATCGTAGAACACTATTAGCGTCCATCCATGCATCTACGCAGTAAGGCAGATGTGACTCTATTCAAGATGTCATGACTCGCGACGTACTATTAAATTCTGGCAGGCGTCATCATAAATTTTAAGGAATGAGTGGAATGAAATTTTAGAAAACTTGGTAAATTTATTCGCAAAAATGCTGAAAAATTTAAATTCAAACCTCTCTTTCCAAAGTTCGTTACCATATGTTCGTCCAGAAAATAATTTGGTGTAAAATGAATATAAGAGCCGGGTGATCCACATCCTCCATATTGAAGAGTATAAGGGGCGTCTCCGTAGCTTGGATTTGGTTTGGAAATGATAACATCAGCCTGAGATAATATAGGCTACTGGTTATTCTGTGATTGTAGGTAGGAAAATACACGGCACAAAGTCTTATATAGCTACGACGCAAAATGGGTGGGTGGGCAACACATAATGATGGCAGAACTTCTCGTTTGTCGACAAAACTTTTACGGATATTATTATATATCTTAAGTTAAGTGAAATTTGCCGTTTAAATTAATTTATTGAATTTACCAGCTTTTTATGAAGGTTTTGCTTACTTTGTCATATGTTTCGCCGTCGGACACTGTTGCTGTTGTTTTATAATTGATCCAATTGCTTGGTACAAGAATAGTTACTTCACCAATGTAAGCTCGTTGTTTTGTGGCGGTAAACAGAATATTTGACGCCTCTCTCCATGATTCCTGATGGTATCACAAAATAAGCAAGTATTTAGGATATTTTGTAAGGTAACACATGGAGAAATGTCGTGCACCTGCTTTCGAATTTAGTTTAACATACTAGTAATAGAAGAATGTGTGATGAGATATTTTCATCCGACTTCAAGAAATATTTAATACGGAAATGTAAGTGCTGATGAGCATTTTGCAGTTTTAGTTGAAAATGTAGACATTCAATCTCGATATTGGATAGGGTTGAAATTTTGACACCGAGTATATAGTAAATTCTAAATAGCTTTAGAAATATACGCCTAATTACCATTCCACACCCATAGCTATAGTATATATAGAGAGAAATTACATAAGTCCTATTATGTGTCCTATTATTTTAAATTCACCAAATTTTAACATTAAATTTCACTGTATTGCAGGAAAAATCAATGTCAACTGCGTACATACTTTGATGCTGTCGATAAGCTCGTTGCTTTCAGGTACATGTGGATTGATGGCGATCACAATTCCGTCATACTTGTTGTCTTTCAGAATAACATTCGATTTCGAAATTTCAGCATTAGAAAAATATCCCCAATTCAGCAGTAAATACAGGAGTATGCACAAAAAATCCATTATCGTATTATTGTATTCTGTTTGAATAAATTCATTCTTTTCATAACTATTCGACAGAAGGCTTCAAGTACTCTATCAACCATATAATATTTTTAACAGCATATCATATTATTATACATCAAAATAGATCATTACAATTCACATATTTGACATTATCTATACAACAGGATTCTAGAGTGTCGGTCTATTTCTGTATGGATATTTTCCCTATATATAGAGAACTGAAACTGTAAATCATATTTTAAGATTACAGGATGAAGCTTGTTTTCGAAACCTAATATTGACTCCAATATTGAGAAACCTTTTCGTTTGCACTGTGATAAAACAACGTCACGATATGGGGAGTTAGAAATGCGAAGCACAAGTAATTAACAATGTATTTGTTCAACTAACTAACCTGTATATTCTATATTGTTGGACGATGAAACAATAAAAAATGAAGCCAATTTTTAGGTAAATCAAAAGAAGACACCAACAAATTGATCATATGCAAACCTTATATGGGTTAAACATTCTAGTCATGATACTACATTTTATTTCAAATGCACATCAAATTGCTATGTTATTTTTTATTAACTATTTGATTTTTGTCATCAATGCGCTATCATTATTATTTTAAGGTTATTCTAAGGGTTTTTGCTAGATGTAAACTATATTGTATCTATTAATGATTCACAAGGTAAACGAAAAGCGATAAAACTTTTATTTTAGTATTCAGCAAAAATATATACTTTGATTAAACGTAACCACGTGATTTTATTTTTGTGTCATCTTGACGACTGGGGATAATGATTATGCGTGAATACATCGCTTTGTTCAAATTCAGTTATAGTTTGATTACCTACTTATTTTTATTATTAATATGTCATCGACCCATAGATCCTCCCAAGGCATAAGAATTGTCTGTTTTCAAAAACTTCAAAAAAAAATTTTTTTTTAATTTTTATTGCCTGACGACATAACGCTTTTTTTCTATTCCAAATACAAAGTATTGTTAGCAATGTCAAACAAACAGTGAAATCTAAAAGTTTATTGTTACCCCTAAAGACACCGATATTGTTCAGGTCTAGTATAGTATCGAACATTTTTTCAAAGTGGTTTATTATCTTTTCTATGTAGCCATCCATGCTTCATAAGAAATAGGCATATCCTAGTATTCAGAAGATCTCGTGACCACCGCTTATAACATGGTGCAATTCGATCAGGTACACGACATATCTCGTCTTCAACGGGTCAAATATTTGAGTGGTGTACAAATTTCGTTTCGGTCTGCTGCTCAAGGGTCGCTCAGCAACGCCAACGCTTTATCAAACTAATCGGCGACGTAATGGCAGTATAGCCAGATAGTTAATTGAACACATGCCTAAATGCAGTTTATTTGCTATTCTGGTCGTAAGGAGTCACTCGCATCTAGTCAGAATTTGACTTCTAGAATTACTATTTTGAGTACCGCAACGGAACAAGCACAAGAAACATAATATTACAGATAACATAGTTATTTTTAGTTTCGCTTGTCTGTACGATGGTGACAGTACATTTGAATCCATAAATTTGCACCCGCGGGTTCAATCTATATGCGGGTGCTAAAATCCATTAGAGTTAGTATGGGTTCAAATATCTGTAGGTGCAAATTTCCATAGGTGCAATAGTATGCAGGTGCAAATTACGGGATCAAATGTACGTGAGTTCAAATGTAATGGAACCCTGTACGATCTGACGATAGTTCGGTTTAAACTGATAAAAAGCCAGCGTTTATTTTATTATTGTTCAACTTCTATTCAATTCGACTAAGTTAGTGAACCTTAATTAAACCAACAAATTATGCCGAAGAAAAAGAAGAAGGCATCGACTGAAGTGAAACCAAAAACGAGGACTAAATTTGAGTTTCCACAAGAAGCATTGCCGGAATATGTTCCTCCGCCACCAGTAACTGGACACCAGGTGGGAATTCTAACATGATCGTTGATATATCTAACAGATTACATTATAAAAATAGATTTGAAATAGGTTTAATAGTTTTGTATTTTCTGGCATCGCTGCGTTTTATTGTAACTTTATTCATATATACGTCATTAATTTGTACTTTATAACAAACATGTTCCTTATTTAGCTTCTGGCTGCTCTCCAATCTAATGAAGTGAACGAAAAGGAGTTTCTTGGTATGAAAATTTCAAAGCACATCTTTCAGCATGTGAGTAATATGGCCATTCTTTTTTAGTCTCGCTTTTATTATATGATCAGGGAATCCAAATTTCAATCATATTTCAAATATCTTCTCGTACTTCAAGTTCATTCGGAAATATCGGTACCATCACTCTGATCTGATCTGATAGTGTTATATATTGTTAAAGTAACCAATCCCGAAATTTTGATGTGATAGTCATTTATTTCATAACATCTAATCATAAACCATTTTCTGAACTACAGTTGACGACTCAAGAAATTCGTGACCTCAAAGTTGTTTTCGACACGTTTGATGTCGATAATTCAAACACAATCGATTTAAAGGAACTTAGAAGAGCCATGAAAATTCTGGGATTCCGAGTAACTCGAAGAGAAGTCAGAGAGATGATGGCTGACGTGGACGTAACAAATCGCGGGTAGGTTAAAGTAAATTATCATACCGGACGTGAGGTTATGGACAAGCGACAATATATACCGTATTTTCTGACAAATAAGTCTACCAGGCAAATAAGACGATGTCTATTTTTAGCACTCAAAAAGAGGGTTTTTCCATATAGCCGTCCAATAAGATGGGTAGAAAACTTGCGCTCTGTTGGTCAGCTAAACACTAATATATATGCGCTAATAATTTTATATGGTTGGAACCAGATCATGTTTATTTGGTAGAATCATACTCCCAGAATTAACTATTCTTAAAAATAAAGCGGTAATTTTAAGTTAAAAAGCGGCAATCATTTTGAATAACATATAATTTTATATGGTTAGAATCAGATCATGTTTGTTTGGTAGAATCATACTCACACAATTAATATTTCTTCAACAATAAAGCGGTATGTTTTGGTTGAAAAGCGGCAATCATTTTGAATAACATATAATTTTATATGGTTAGAATCAGATCATGTTTGTTTGGTAGAATCATACTCACACAATTAATATTTCTTCAACAATAAAGCGGTATGTTTTGGTTAAAAAGCGGCAATCATTTTGAACAACCTATTAACCCGAACGTTGAAATAACCTCTGAATAAGGTGTGATAAAGAGTACACTGTACGTCCATGGGTTTGTTCATAGCTGCGTTTTCCTGTCTGTGTCGTTTTTCGTCGAATCGGCAAAACGGAAGGGTCATAAATCACTTCATCTCCGTGGCCGTGTTTCTCTTAGCGATTACGGCGGGCGTGTATAGGGAGGGAGTGCTTCATGACACCAGCCAGTTATGACTACAAGGAAGTTTTTAAAAGGAATATGACAGATAACAGTTGGCAGTACAAAGTCAATTAAATATCATGATTGGAGACCCTTTGACGTCATCGAGTACATAATAAAAAATATCAAACTAAATATAACGTTCACACAAATCATGTTTTAAACTTACCTGCCCAATAAGACGACCCCGCAAAATCAGGACACAAAATTGGGCCTAGAAAAGCGACTTATTAGCCGGGAAATACGGTCTATATATATAGCCCTTTTTCAAACTCTGAGAATAATAAAGACGAGTTGAATCTAACTGAACAGCCACCGTTGACTTTAGATGAGGTGAAATATTTATCCATGTTTAAAATTGCATGAAATATCAGCTACAAAACAAATGCTAATTACTTCTCAAATTTCTAATTCTAATTGGACAAATGAATAAGTGAAATTGCAAAGCATCACTATTTGTGTCAAGGCAAACAATCTTGGATTGCAACTTGCAAGTCAACATTTTTTAAGTATCCAATTAATGGTGAAAAAAATTCATGATAGAATTATCTAAGATCTTTACCAATGTATATATAAGCTATATGCTTTTCAGATGTCTCAACTTTAACGATTTTCTTGCTCTGGTAATAGAAAGACAGAGCGACTCTCGGGATATATTTGAAGAAATCCGTCAAGCATTTACAGTATTTGATATAGGTGAGCATTAGGGTAGATGTGACTAACCTATGAATCGTTTGATGAGATAAGATTCAGAATTGTGTATAAGCGTGATGAACAAATCATAAAAAGCTCATGCGTGATAAATCCCTTGAGATGACCTTGCCGTGTTTGTTATCTTATTTAGATTTTACGCATTCACCTTATGGCAAACGTATTTCAAAAGTTATTTTGTGACGTCAACCATTTTGTGACAATTCAAATTTTCGTCCATTATTAATATTAAATATGCTGAACTGTGTTGAAATAGGCTACTTCCTGGACAACATATTTGGGTGTGTTCGCCACGGTACTATATGAGAATTGTTTATAATTTAGATGGTGACGGAAAAATCACTTTGTCTTCATTGAAACGACTCTGTCGAGAGCACAAAATTCGAATGACTGAACGAGAAATTCGTGATATGATAAGAGAAGCTGATCATAATGGCGACGACGCAGTTGATGAAGACGAATTTATTGGAATTATGTTAAAAACTAACATATTTTAAAAGTGCACGAGCACAATTTGTCAGATCTTGCCTGAACTCCCTCTGCCTATGGGCAAGATACTTACATTGAAAGTACGAAAGAGAATAGTATTTAATTAACATGTTGCAACATATCGATGACGTATATATGTAACGCGCGGCGTTATGGACTCGAGAGAATACAAAAGAATTATTTTGTTGTTGAAGGGTTCAGAGGGAAAGTCAATTTATACAAAATTATACGAAGCCATCTCCTGCAGGCGGAGCTCGAAAATTGATACTGTTATCCCTATTGAATAATATTAATAAACACTAAATGAGTGGCGTTGTTAGTGGTCATCGGCTTAAAATACTTTTTGGGTGAATGCGACCGGCGATGTATGAGAGGGAAGAGGCCCTGGAGAATGTTTTTGAAGCCCCTACTCTTCTTGGGTCGGTTTCACGATATTTTGGGATCTCAACGTAACAGTAATTGGCTATTCATAGCCTTTATTTGGGTGAAATAGCTATCGGGTTTTAATCTTAACAAGATGTTCAAGTTCAAAAAGTAAACCTAATGTTACAATAACATGCCAAGCACGAGAAAACCGAAGTTCAACAAAATTTTTAGCCTAAACATATATCTCCCAAGATTGAGCTTTCTACCTCACTATGTATGTTTGTGAAACACATTATACAACAGTAGGTAGAAAATACCAGAATTCCTCATCATGCAATAATGACCAAAAGTCCAGGACACAGAAGAGCGAACCGTTTTGTTACTATACAACAGTAGTCGTTAAACTTTATGCACTACCAAGCCAAATATACACATTTCGGAAAACGAGAAACTCACATAACGCGATCGATTTTTACAGGAGTAATTTACCAAGTTTCGTCAGCGTTACGTGGTTTAGGCCCTGAAAATCGGTAAAATAGATTTCTGCAAACCGTTGCGACATGTGGACTTCTAAAGTCTATATAATAACCTTTTTTTTCGTGTGCGGTATTGTATGTCCAATTATCGTAAAAATGTAATAAAATTTCTTATTCCTAATCACTACGATGCTAGCTTGACGGTGACCGTACATTTGAACCCATGCGTATATCCGCGGGTTCAATCTATATGCGGGTGCTAAAACCCATGGGTTAGTATGGGTTCAAAGATCCGCAAAACAAAAAAATTTCCATAGTTGCAATAGTATGCAGGTGCAATTGTCGTGGGTTCAGATGTACGTGGTTCAATTGTACGCGGGTTTAAATGTAATGGAACCTAACTTGACATATCAACTAACAGGTTTTGAAAAGCTATAGGAGGAAGGTGAAGGCATTTCGGAATGTTCGACCCTCGTCGCCGAATTTCCTACCTTTACCAAACATTCAAATGCCAAATTTTAAAAATCATTATAGACTAAAATGATAATTACAGGCTACAGCCCGTATATCCAACAAGCGAAACAAAAATAGACTCAAATATGTACAATATCACAATTTTGATTAATCAGTATATAGAATTCATTATACAAGTGTAGACATCAAATCATTTTTAATCGATCAGTTAAGTACTATTTGTGCATTACTGGTGTCTAAAAAACAAAAATTAGGAATAAATCTGGATTATTTAGCTATTCAAGCCACAAAAATTTCAAAAAAAATCCTTTTCTAGTGTAGAAAAAAACTCATATGTCACATATTTACTTCAGTTATAAGTATCTCAAATCGCAAGACATTATTTTATTTCGCATTAAAAAAAAATTGCAAAGCTATATAACTAAATTTGGAATGTTTTTCGATTAAAACAAAAATCACTAATGTATTCTTACTAAGGCACATGAGACAATAATTCTACTCCCGGAAAAAATCTTCTGGAAAATAAATCACCAAGTAGGTGAATGCAACAAAATTCCACAAAGCAAATCACTTGACTGACCATTTCTGAATAAAAATTCTTGTGCAAGATGTATAGTAAAATATGATTACAAGCTATCATGGCAAGCAATACTATTTTGGAGTAATGAAATGGATACCAGGAACACTAGTAATGATATCTTATATAAAAAAAAGAAGGGGGCGGGGCTGGGGAGTGGCTGAAATAATAATTTTAAAATCTTATGCTGGAAAACTGCTATATCCACTCACAGAAGAAAAAAGACAATTTATTGATTTCTCAAGTATGGGTAATACACGAGTCAGTATTTATGTATGATTTATCCATGTTCCATACTCGATAAGATTTGAGCTATAAATTTGGCGATTGTGCAATCAATAAACGAGTTTCCAGTTCCTTTAGTTCCTAGTTTTCATTATCTTTTGCTCCGTGTTTTAGAATTCTTGTAAACTCAACGTAATCGAAATCGCCAGTTTTCTGTGAAATTGGTGCTTCACGGAACATGTCATCAACCTGTTCATCTGTGAATCGATCACCCATCGTAATGAGCAATTCCCTCAGATAATCCTCATTTATTTTACCTGGAAAAATAACACTAGATCTTTACATGGCATTTTTCAAGACTTGACGTCAAATGACGTGTACATATAGATTGATTTTCTAAATTCTCAGTGTTATTGTTGAAAAGAAATTGCCTTTTCGAAACTAATGGAGCAACCAATTTCATATTTTCAGTACCCATATATTTGGTCATGGCTCTTTCGTTTTAATTCAATATAGATTCATTTGAATAATTGTGGCCACATACCGGAGACAGTTAAAACCAAAAAGAGCTCAAGAACTAACATTCCACAAAATTCAAAATATCAGACAAAGAATTTTTGGTATTTCGATAAATTTGCTTCAAGATAAATGCTGGGTAAATGTTGAAATTTACAATCTACCCCACTATTACATCATATTACAGAGACAGAATGTCAGCATTCATCAAAACACATTATGGTATTACATATGACTCATCAATTAATAATTCCTGACAGGAAAGGAAGGAAGACATGATGCAATTATGTTAAACACATGTTGATGAATACTCATCATAATTATAAATCAATACCAAACAACTAGATATAGATCCAAAACTTTAAAACAAAGAATATACCTATTTATGTACAGTAGGATTTTAAGAAATAACATGTCTATATTATAGGCATGGTATAAGTGTAGTTTGCCACATGTCAAAGCCATCTCACATTTGCTATACCATAAGATAAATATAACAACCCACGTTCCATATTATACCTTTTCAAAAATGGGCTAGTCTCTAAATTTTTGCTATATTACAATGTGACACTTTATATATCAAAGAGCCGTATTCGTAAAAAGATCTTAAATCAGTAACCTGAACCAACAACACCCATATATATGAAAACTGGCAAGTTGCAAAGAAGAAACTTGAAAACAGAATTACTATGCACAATCCCAATATACAAAAAAATGGAAAAAATGAAGTGTCCCCCTTTTCGTTAAGTTACTATAATATATATTCATACCTGTGCTTTCTTCATCAAAACATGCGAAAGCATTTTTGATAACTTCTTCTGGATCTGTTCCGTTCAATTTTTCACCGAACATTGTCAAAAACATTGTGAAATTGATTGGACCATGGGCTTCACCGATCATGTCATCAATGTATTTATCTGTAACTTCTTTCCCTGCAAACATTAAAATAATATGCTTGGTTTATCTACAGAACATAGAAGAAATAGTATAGCATATTAGAATGATATGAAACATCTATAAAAAGTGTGTAAATGGCCCGAGGCAACTTTCTGTATTAAACCAGGTCAATGACATGTTCATACATAAACATAGAGCAATTAAAATGCAGGATTCCAGCATATAATATTAGTAATTATTAAAACATGAATATGTTGTAACTTGTAAGGGAGTCGTAATCACTGAAAAAACTTTTGACAAAAAAAAGGTCATTTTTTTATCATAATTTCTTTTTCATAATAAAAAACATCTTTTATGAAATTATATAAATCACAATGCTAGAGATCAAAAAATTTAAAATATTCTATAAAATGAATAAAATAAATTTTCCATTTTTCGAGAAAATATCATATTCTAGGACTAAAACATATTTTTAAAATCTCATTATTGTCAAGACTTTTCATCTCCGTATGCAAATTTTTGTTATGATGTTTCTCTTACAATATTCTTTAAATTAGAGACATTACTTAGAGCAGTGATGTTTCATTTCTTACCCAAGGAGGCCATCATGTCTTTCAAATCATCTGCATCTATAAATCCATCACGATTTTGATCAATCATGTTAAAAGCTTCTTTGAATTCTTGAATTTGAGCTTGATCGAACATAGCAAAGACATTGGAAGTCGCACGTTGAGCGCGCTTCTTGTTAGTCTTTCTTGCTTTGGTGCGACTGGACATTTTGAAGTGTTAGTGATTTCGAAATCTAATTATAAAATATGCTGCGTATACAAAGACAGAATTTCAATTAAAATTGGTTTTCTGAAGACACAAAATGAAATGAAAATTTGATATATAAAAATTTCGGTACTCCCGTAGTATGTGTACCATGTTAGGGTTAGGCCATAATTTTATTCAGATTTTCTTTAACCCTTTCCGTGCGGTGGGCACGTATACGTACCCACGACAAAAGTCGCTAGATTGCGGCGGGTACGTTGATGTACTCCACTGTTTTATTTAGCAAACGGTCGCAAACTGTTGGTCTAGTTTTTCCGGGTTTTAGTTTATTGATAAGAAGTCTTCTTCGAGATTAACATAAGCGACGGTAAATCTCGCTTTCGTTTACGACGGGAATTTTATTTGCGGCGGAACGAGGGAGTGTTTTTGAAATTTATGCAAATTTCGGTGTTTGTTGGGTGGTAATAGAAGATATATTATCCCTCCCATCTACCAAAGTATTTTGAGTTGGATCACGAAATTGTTACAGCAATATTATGCTATTGTTTGCCAACCACGAAGCGGTAACAGTAAAGGATTTAGCGAATATTTCTATTTTTTATCACGGGTTGAAGTTTCAACTCCTAAGAAAAAAAAATGCCTTTTTTCTATCCGGTTTGTGACTCAGACCACCACTTTTAAAAAAACTTTTTTTTTTAATCGCCAATTGCAAGCTCTTTAAATAAGCTTTCCAACGAGCCGTCAGTGGGCAGCAGAGGATCATTAGTTTTTCGTTAGTCGATCGATTAGTAGTGGGGGTACAAATGCATAAAATCGGCGTAGCAAATACGATTATTTAATAAAAAAAAAATAAAAATCGCATGGAAAGGGTTAATTTAGTTATTATTAAACAGTAAGCAATGGTAATTATTGAAGTTTTTTTTGAATATCTGAATATATAGATCTATAAACCAAAGATGACGAACAAAGATAGCGCTTTCAAATCACATATTATAATAGATTGCAAGTATATCATTGTATAAAGATTGAAATAATATGATTTGTTGAGAATTTAGTCTCATAGAACTGAAGAACAGTAAATGGAAATAAAATATTCCGATTCTGCACTTACAGACTTAGCAATTTTTAATTGATAATCAAATCCAAGCCAGACAAGATTAATAAAAATAACTCATTGATGGGATGCCTATATCAGAATAGTAGAGGAGTATCATATTCCAGAATTCGAGATTTGTAATTAATTTGAAAATAACCTATATATTCTTGCATAAGCAAATTTTACTTTTATAAATTGGACATGTAGAAGGACAATTTTAACTCTTGAAATATTTTTTTAATACACATTTTTTCAAAACAATTTAAAATTTTAATTCAACTGTATTCTCTTGGCTCCAGCCTAGATTTTTTTTCCAATTTCAACAGTAAATTAAAATAACACAACTTCGACTACAGATATTGTAATTTTACAGTTAATATGCCTCACTAATACTGTGCATGAGAAGATAAGTACTGCTGTACTGACAGGACTGAAGAATCTTATAAATGAAAAAACAGCATAACCAATAGACTGTTAAAAATCTAAGACAAATTTCACTAGACTACCGGTATCTAACATTATGTAGCTATAAACAGCATCAGAACTAAACTGGTTATACTGACCAGAATGTCAGCAACATGAAGAGAACATAAACTACTGAACTAGTACTAAATAAGAACAGGATTTCTAGGGCATTTTGTCATTTTTGTGTGAACACACACATCCTGACATTCCAGCCTTGCTAAATCACTAAACAAATACAGAAATAGCCGGTGTCAAGTTTTGTACTTGGTAATTTGATCTAACACCCACTTGTCAAAGGGTTAAACAATACGATAAATATTACGCTGAACGAATTTTCCTCACACAATCTAATACAATGACAGAATGACAAAGTTCAGAAGTTCAATCTAGCTAACGTCTGAACGTCAAACGGCAGAACGGACAAAACAACTGATTCAGGATTAAAACAAAATTGTCAAAATACGACTTTCGTGATCTATACATTATTTAGAAGTTTCATTAAACCCATTATAATTCGAATCGTTACAAATCGTGACACACGAAGCAACATACGATATCAAATTAAACAATATTCCGAAGCCGCGCTCGGACAGAAAAATTCACCTCACGCCCTCACTCCGCCATCAAAGGATACGGGCGTTTCCATATAAGGAAGTCTATATGATGTCATAAAATAAATTAATGCTTCAGTGAAAATAGGCTGTACACTGGAGGGAGACGTGAACTGCTTCGAACATAGGATTTACATATTTATCCCGGGGGGAGAGGGATGGGATTAGTTAGCTAGTTATTTGTTTTTTTCGGAAGCATGGACTTGATGGTGAAGAAAGCCGTAACCGACCAGCGGTTAGGTGAACCACCCTACGGCGGCGAGGAGTTCAGCAATCCTCTCGCACATGATCATCCCCGCATGGGGTTACGTGAACCACCTACGGCTGCGAGGAGTCCAGCAATCCTCTCACACATGATCATCCCCGCATTGGGATTCGAACCTGCAATCCCACGAAGTTTAATCAGAGATGCGGTGGCGATCGTATTCCTAACGCTTAGCACGATGCGCCAGACCGCCGAGCCACATCATAACAGGCTTTCGCTTGGAAATAAGTCCGAAAGGCGGAGAATAAATAAAATAGGCTTGCAATTGTGATAACGCCATGACAGATCATTGCACGTATTACCTTGTACGTGTTCATGAGAGTGGATAATTGTCATAAGAATAAAGCATCAATCTCGAAGTTTAGAACGATCACGTAGGATTCCCCATGGATTGGCCCACTCTTATGATAAAATGAAGTGACCTACCCTCATGTGTCATGATAAACGATTTCTTGAATTCCGTTCCGTCTGCTTGTAAGTGTGGGCTTGCCATACGTCCAGATTTTGACGTGCTGCCCCGCCCGGTGGACTTATACGTCCCGGTAACGCTGTATGGCATGCAGTGGCCTACTCTCATGATAAACGATTTCTTGAATTCCGCTCCGTCGGCTTGCATGCGTGCGCTTGTCACGCGTTCAGATTTTGACAAGATGCTCCGCGCCCCGCCCAAATGTCCCGGTGATGCTTTGGAAGTTGCAGCTCCATTATCACTAGTCTGCCACTAGATTCGATATTGCAATATCTATACGAGTTGATTAGAATACTGTATTACAAAAACTCTAACCGAGGTCTGTTAAATCTTCGTCGTAACCGTTTCAATATATCTATACGGTAAGCGAAACCCAGAACCCTTTCGACCGCATTGATCCATGATGGGGTCCGGTTTTACGAATTTACCGGAGAATAAAAGACATGAACAGCTCCCATCTTAAGTTTTACAATTAAACGCCACGTGAATATTTAGTTTTATTCATTTAAACCAATATTAAGATTTGTTGGTCGTTAAAGTAACACCAAGAGAACGATTACGAAGTAAAACAAGAATCAACGAAACAATGACAACAAAGAGTACAGTTCCAATGACAATCATGAGCAGGGTAGGTTGGTCGATACCTAAAACGATAAAACAAAATGTCAGTTAATTTGCCAATGACGATCGATGCATCCCAAACGTGCTGGGCATGAAGATCTTACCTAAAGGACGACTCGATGGTGCTTCTACGGTTCTCGGCATTTCTTCATCATTTTGTCTTAGTACAAGACCAATTTTTCCATCGGGAATTTCAACGTCTTCCATACCGTTAAGGTGGATGTTGGGCATTCCAATCGAACCATTCAGCAATAGAATTGGTCCGAGCGCAATAGGAGCAGAATCGACACTTCTTCGTTTACGCGATAGAAGGCATCTGTCGACGCTGGCATTGTCCGAGCAAGTCTGAAATGACGAACAGCGATTAGCTTCATAGCTTTAAGGGTAACCTAGACGTAACAAAACAAAACTTACGCCTACACTTCCTCTGTCACAAGAAATCAATTTTGCATGGATATAAAACTCTTGGCATGACATGCTTCTCGGGGTCTGGAACGATACACAAACGGTATGGCCAACGGCGCTGGTGGTTATTTCACATGGAAGCCCAGCTGTGGTGCCACATCCAGATTTAACAATTCCAACAATATTGGCCGTGGATGGCACAGGGCTGCATGATAAATACATTTCGTCGATACCGGTGACCTGGTTTCCGGACTGCAAAATAAAATCAACAATAATTCTCATTCCAACTGAAAAAATACTGTTGCAGAACTGGGGAAGAACTCTACTCACATCAAGTGACATTGTAACATGCATCATTTCTCCAACGGTGTAGACAGCCCCTCCACTCACAGCAAAATTTGTAGGACAAGTGCTTGGACACGCGGGCACCTTGCATAACGAAATGCTAGGTGTTATCGATTGGCGGCCGGTTATCACAGCTGGTGTGCTTACCCTGAATGAAAATAATGAAATTTTAGGTAGGTCAAAGTAATGAGACTTTTTACCAAAATAGTTTTACTTACACTGGGCGGAGTGAAGTCACCACCCTATATTGCCTTTCGTATCTACACTGAAATTCAGCGACAGGAATAGGCATATCGAACATGGAGTTCGCAAGACGACGATTGAACCACATCTGATTAGTGAAGACAACCTGTCCACCGATTGATGTCATTTCCGTCCCACATGTACTAAATGGAATTGGGATTTGAATCTCGTAAAACCCATTGACAGCGGCCGCGACTGAAATGCAATAAAAATCGCGATTTTAGTACTCGGTTTAACTTACACGTCTGCGTTGTTAAACCGAAACAAATACCTTCGCATCCTTTGGTGTCACCAAGACTTCTGACGATGTTGATGAAGCTGTTTCTCAGTCCAAGGTCGTATTCACGGACAAAGCTTTCCGACACAGAAAACACGATGCGATTAGTCTCGCAGCGGAGAGAAGGCATTGCTGAATGAGTAAGGGTTCCAAGAGTAATTTACGTACCGTAGCCAGGGTTAAATATTGACAGATACTTACGAATGGTGCAATTTTTGCCGAGATAACCAGAAGCACTCCTGCAATAATATCCACCAGCGTGTTGGCACGATTCGTGACACTTACAATCCCGCTTGCATGGATTTGGAAAGCATGCTCCCTTTTTTGGACCGATACCTGAAAGCAAATGTGGACCAATATGAGATTTTATTTTTAGCGTACACGAGTTACAGAACAGTACGTACTACGTACCATCATCACAGAGCTCGCAGTGTTCACCTCTACAGTCACGAGGGCAACCACATTTATAAGAACCACCATAGTTGACACACACACCACCGTTCATACACGGATTTCGGTTTGAAGAACAATACGTAGGAGAAGAGAATCCATGAACGTTGGAGCTGCAACCTATAAAATCAGTTTTGGATTAGAAAATAAAACACAAAAGCTTGCAACAGAAATAGCATACTTACCTATGTCCACGCCACACGACACAATCAGGAAAAAACTAAAAAAAAAGGTTAAACAACAGTTAAGTCACTGCTATCATAACAGTGAATCTATAAATAACAAGCAAACTCATGTAACCACATAAATACTAGAGCATCGTTATATTAGGACGCATAGCCAAGCTGACTAGTTACATTATATCTAATACGATCTTTTCGAGAATCTGCTATCATAACGAAAAGGCGGAATAAAATAACATCTAAATACTTACAGAAAACTAAGTGTGTAACTCATCTTGAAATAATAGTATCAACTTAACAAATTTAAACCAAGGAAACAAATGAACGCAACGGCCGACCAACAAATGTAGACGAACAGAATAGAAACCATGGCATACATTCTAGCCCTTTTATTAGACTAGGTTTCGCGTGACAGCAATCATTATACAGTGCTGTCAAGTAATAATCACTTGTAACCCAATTTCTCTTTTGTAACCTTATGCTCACTTCGATGTGTTATTGTTTTTGTATCAACATTATTTCAAAACTGGGTACCAATTGATGTTCTGACCTAAAGTCCCCCTGACCAGGTTAATGCATGTAACTATTATAAAATGGATATAATTTCCAGTCAAGAAAAGGGCCTAGTTCGATCAAATTATATACGACGGAAGACGTTTTTTTCGGGTTCGACATTGTCTGCGTTATTTTTACATACAAAGTGAAGTAATATAATAATAAACATGCATTTCAGTACGGAAACATTTATTAAAGTTCAAATCAGAAAAGGTAATTTGAGTTTCTACGAACAGGGCACTTGCAATACAAAGTATTATTTTAAAGTAGTGTTCAGTACATTTGAAACACATAAAATAGACAACTTTTAGCTGAGGTTTCTATTATAATTTGAGGTGACAATGGAAAAATTGAGTACTGAAGTTGAGAATCGTAGCTAGGCTTTCTAAGCAAAACAAAATGCATGTAGACAGGAATTATTTACTTTATTACTCTTTGTAGTTATCTTGTCAGTTCAAAACTTTGTCTTTCCAAAAAAACGAAAGTTAATTTCATTGGGCATAAATGGATTTTGTAATATTTGGCTAGACAATCAAAGTTCTTTCACTTCTACCCCGACAATTGAACTTCTTGCTCCTGGTTTGTATTCGACTTCTCGCTCTTCTGGAAGTTCCGGAACCCCAAACCGAAAAAACTTTCGTACTTTTTGGGGGAATATTTCGTTGTCAATAATCGGAACGAACAACCTTGGATCTGATTTTGAAGCTGGTGTGTGACCTTAAATAGAAAATTTCAATTTTTTAAACTTATCTAGAGACACGAAATATCGATGCGGGTTTATAGTACTCTATCTAGCTAACGTTGAAATGAGATTATCTCAAATTAAGAGACATTTTCAAAATGCTGAGTTCTCCATTTATTCCAAATTTTAGCGGTAATTTCCGACAGAGTCGCCCGAAATGATATTTCAACATGCTAAGTTCTTAATTTATTCCAAATTTTCAGCGTTAATTTCCGACACAGTTGCCCGAAATTATATATATATATTTCAAAATGCTGAGTTTTCCATTTATTCCAAATTTTAGCGGTAATTTCCGACAGAGTCGCCCGAAATGATATTTAACATGCTAAGTTCTCAATTTATTCCAAGTTTTTAGCGGTAATTTCTGACGAGTCGCCCGAAATGATATTTCGAAACGCTAAGTTCTAATTTATTCCAAATTTTCAGCGTTTATTTCCGACAGAGTCGCTCGAAATGACAATTCAAAAGCTAAGCAAAATGCTCATTTATTTCGGATAGGTTACTAATAAGTTAGTGTGGTACAATACCCGAAAATGAAGGAGGCGATGATTCCAACAACAATCGTAGTCACAAAACCAATCACCATAAGAAAATTGAAGTTGATGTTGTGTATATCTCGGAGAAAGGTTCTTCTGTTAAGCAAGAATCATTTTTTGTTGAAAGGGTAAAACGAGTGTCCATGTAAAATTAAAATATAATTTATTTTTATATTATCTGACTAGAAACTACGCAAAAGTTTCAACGGCATCACGCAAGACACAGGTTTGAGTGCTGATCAAGGGGATAGCGTTTTTCCTAAAAATAACGATCTTGCACTGAATGAATGAAGTTATGTCGTGAAATATAAAAAAAACATTATTCTATTTAATTACAAATTCAAGTTTTATATTCAAAAGTTTTACTCTTGGATTTCTTCTATAGCTGTAATTGTCGACGTATCTGATGTTGTAACATTGTAATCGAAGTCATCTAAGGTATGATTTGCTGGACATAAGTTGGTTGACACAGTGGGTATATTAGCTCGATATGGATTTGGGTTGAAAAACTGTCGCCCTGAAAACAATTTGCTTCATAGTATTGCTATTGTAATATTTTAGTCGTATTTCGCACATAAATTCATTATTGCCCATAGGTGAGCGTTTCTGCCAATGCATGGTGCACTACATTTTTAAAATAAAAATATCATAACACAAATAATCACAACGCTTGCGTTGGGTACCGCAGTCAATCGTTTTTGCGTTTTCTTCAAACAGATGTTCAAAATCCATTATTCATATTACAATATTTTAAACCAAGTCGACGATGGAAGATAGAGAAGTATTTGGATCACCTAGAATAAAAACAGTAAAAACTATTTACAAAAATTGATCAACCCACCTATAAACAATAACGCAGTAGCATGTAACCTGTTAACATTCCAATCATTGCGCCCTAAAATGTGACGAAAATATATCGTCAATTATGTTGTTATAAAGAATATTTATGTCCTAAATATAAAGAACTCACCATAGCATTTGCCCAAGGGAAGAAAAATCTAGAAAATACAACCGCAATACCAGGTCCATATGTAAGTGCGGTAAATCCATACACAAGTTCAAATGCATTCGCTTTTGATGCTGATATTCCAAATGCCAATAATATTAAAATTATCCCGAGAATTCCACCTATAATTACACAGTGTAAAATTATATTTATAAATTCGGTTTCGGAATACTCATGATCCATCGTTCAAGGTAAACTGCTCACCGGTAATTTTCCCAATAGCAACTTTCTTCTCTCAGTCAATGAAGGCCATTTTGGCAACAATAAAGTCTTCCAATATTAAAACAGATAATGAGTTGAGACAGGATGATATTGTACTAAAAAATCGTTGAAAAGTGTTATAAAAAAAGAAAGGTTGAAAAAAGTAGTTGTTGGGTTTGTTGCAGTGTAACACCTATATGCAACTGTAAGTTGAATTGTACTATTTTTAAGTTAAAGATTCACTTGATAGTTCGCTGCGGGGTTTCTCGATCTGAAGATATGCAAATTAGACCAGGGGTGGGCAAATTATGGCCCGGTTGCCATGGTTGGATGCACGCTTTAAAATTTATACATATTACCTTAGACTGGCGCTAAATATGGTTTGAAACGAAAAGTCCTGCCATCCCCGGTACATTCTCAAAAAATCTCTAAAGTCATATACGGGATTCCTTGATCTATATTTTGAAGTTTTCCCGACTTGACAGGGTCACATCCTTCATAGTATGCGTACATTATCAACCCATTTCCGACACTTGTCATTCCTATGATGATTGTTGGCACACATAAACCAGCAGAGCACTGCGTGGAGAATTAAACGGAAAGTTATTTATTTTTTTATAGCAAATTTTTTTGTGAAAACATATTGATGCCCATTTTGCTACTAAGAATTACAGCATATAACTTCAAATAAAGTACGAATCTATAAAATGACTTAGGCAGAAGGAATTGGCAAGAGAAATTTACAACATCTCATCAATTTATAAACTACTTATTACTTATCGATTTAATCGGTAAGTATGTTGATAGGTATTTGTCTGTCTGTTAGATGCACACGATATATGCTATAAATTCGTAATTACCAACGGGCTTTCCTATTGTTTCACAAGCTGAAATCTTTGCACATCGCCTGTTCTACTCCAAGGCCTCCCAAACTCATGAAAAATATATCCTGCAATAATACCCCCTGGTGAAAGTCGCGATATTATACCATAGTCGAATCTGAAAAAAAGTTTGAAAAATAAGAATAGAACTAAGAAAGAACAGAGTAAAAGACGAACCGATGGTTAAATTTATTATGTGATGTATACAGTAGGAATAGGGCTGCCAACTTAGCGTTAAGCCATTCCGGGACACCTTAATGTCTGAATTTTGAAAATTGATGCAAACAGAAGCTTGTGAAATACGAAAATACATCAAAAGCAAACAGTGCCCGCTGCGCGTCAAAGAGGTAATGTGCAATTTGATTTATTTAACAAAAATCACCCAATAATCAGTCCTTCTGGAATCTAAATTTGTATTTTTCTTGTGATTTTTCCGCTTCAAGAAGTTATTTGTCTTTTGTTGATAAACTCATTAACGTGACCTACGGTACGAAAGTCAATTTCATCATCAGTTCAACTCTGATGAGATTAAAGTTTAGTTTGTTACTTATCGATTTTATTACTTATCGATTTTAATCGGTAAGTATGTGATAGGTATTTTGTCTGTCTGTTATGTATGTCTGTATGTCTGTTTGTCTGTTAGATGCACGCGATATCTCACGAATGCGTGGTTGAATCTGCTCCAAATTTTGCATGTGCATTCATCATATCTCGGACCAGAAGCCTATGGATTTAAAATGAATTGTGTCGTATAATTAGCGAGTTATAATTAATTAGTGATGAAAGATCTGGATTTTTACAAAGCGAGAGATTTTCGGGACGCGCTGAATGTGTGTGTGCGTGACCGATGCGCAAGTTTTCACGCTAGTGAGTCAGAGCGAAGGGATACCACACCACTAAACCGTATCTCGTGATTAATCTTTAAGCATTGTCCATATCTCTCTTGTAACTTTGACGTCGTCGCGATGCGCAAGTTTCCTTCGAGAAATTTTCCATGCTAATTGAGGTCAGAGCGAAGGATACACTCCGCGAGATCGTATCTCGTTACTTATAATTACTCTTTTAAAGTTTAAGCAATGTCCATATCCCTCATTCAGGTTGGGGATTGCAGAATTCCTCAACCAAAATATCGCTAGGCTGTGTTTGAATAGCCGTCGCAACCCGGGTTAAGCGCCGTTGTATTGACACAAATAAAATTTCGGTAAATAGGCTATTGGCTGGAAACTAATCGAAACAATCCAAATCGGATTGCAGAATTCTTCATAAAAGTATTTCCTCGAGTAGTATTTCGACGACGACATGGGTAGTTGGCTATTGTTTTCTACATTTTTGATATTGGCTGAAAACTAATCAAAACAATCCAGTTCGAGTTTGCAGAATTTTTCGAATCGAAACCGCAGTTTCTGTTTTGGAGGATCCCCTAACTTTCGATCGATAAGTCTTCGGTCTCTGACCGATATTCTCGTTTCTACTTTTGTCCAAAGCGCGTTCATAATACTCTTTAACAATCATTAACACTCTTTAACAATCATTTTCATTTTTAAAAATATTCGCGTGATCCGGCTACATTCTTTTCCAGTTTGCGCGAAGCCGACACGCTTACACAGACAGTTAGATGGACTTCTATTTTAGAACGCTCGATTGTCAGTTAATTCCGGACAACCGTATCCCAGTCCGGGGCACGGGACACCTGACGTCAATTCCGGGACGGTTGGTAGCCCTTAGTAGGAATATTGTAGAATAAAAGTTGAGCTTACCTGAAAGCTGTAAGCCGATCACCTCTCTCAATTGCACCATACATTTCATCAAACCCGCCAACAACCATGAGCCCTTTAATGAAAACCGCGACCATCCCCAATATCATGATGCCAGATTGTATAACGTCTGTCCAAATGACCGCTTTCATTCCTCCCTATTACGGAACACAGCCTTGAGGATAATTTTAGGACGCGTTTCAAAAAAGGAATCAGTTCATTTGGAACTACAAAACAGCAAAAACTTTTAATTAAGATAAAATTTATGTTGGCCCGGGTAGGGTTTTCATCATGACTCACTAGTATACTTACCTATTTAGGACTCTTATTATTTCGATTTTAATCGTTAAGTATGTTGATAAGTATTTGCATGCTTGTTGTCTGTCTGTCTGTTAGATGCACGCGTTATCTCACGAAAGCGAGATCGAATCTGCTCCAGATTTTGCATGCGCATTCATCATATGTCGAACCAGAAGCCTATTATTTTGGATGAATTATGTCGTATAATTAGCGAGTTATTAATTAATTAGTGATGACACAGGTGTCGCTATGGGGTAAAAGCGCTGTTTTGGGGATCCCCTAACTTTCAATCGATAAGTCTTCGGTCTCTGACCGATATTCTCGTTTTAAGTTCGATATAAAATTGTTTACCTACCAACGTTGTATACAATGTACATATTACACCAGTTAAAATGATACTCCATTCCATTGGTAGAGGTGTCACGTGTTCAGAGCCACGGCAGGCATATACACAACAGATCCGACATAAAATAGCTAAATAAATAAATGTACTTAGTCGTGAATTGTTTGAAGTTTGTAGGATTGTTCAAAAATGCACAGAAAAATAATGAAGAAAAGAATCGAGTAACGAACCATTTGATGCTGTGAAAAATAAAATTTAGAGTTGTCATACCGTTCCTAACGATAGAAGGGCCGATGTTGTTCTCCTCATTGTAGAGTTGTAACGCAGTTCCAGGTACTTGAAATAATAAATTTCAAAATAGTAAAATATATATCGTAATGTTGAAGGTAATACTTCTTTTTGGTGCTTTCTAGTTTTCATTGTTTTCAAATTGCTGGTATATTGTAATCCCTAATATTATCCCAATATTTTAGAAATTTGGGAATAAAATGTAATTATTTTTTTCAAACCTGGTAAATTGTGTCCAGTTGTAAGCGATGATATAACGGTATTAAATACAGAAGAACGATTAGGACGGCAAGAATTCGCATAATTGGTTCCCACATCATGAGAGTCCCGGATATATAGTTTCGGCGGGAGTCGCAATCACAACAATAGCTGATTGGAATGTCACAGCAAGTGAAAGGCCAACAGCAACCTGAAAAAGTTTAAAATTTTGTAATTTAATATTCCAAAAAAAAATGTATATCGCAAGAAATGTAGTTTCTATGTGAAAATATAATCGCTTTTTCCAATTTTTTTTAATAAACTTTTTTTTTAAATTATGAGAATCAAAGAAACTTATTTTTGAAGATATCATCTTTAGAGAAAAAATACCTTACCGGATTCATTTGCTTTCCCCCGAAAAAGTAATTTTTAGTTGTGGCATCGTTTCTATCCCTGTATGCAAAATATACTCCAATAATTGTAGATATTGCCATGAGAACTGAGAAAGATAGAATTAAAAATCTTACTTATATATTATATTATAATATATATATATTTATGTTATATATGATGTTCAATGTACATCTATGTTTTAGGTCCAAAGATTTTGACTTTTCTGTGTACTGTAACTTCCATAATCTAATCGAAATGCCGTGTGTTACTTTTAATTCGTTTTTCTTCATCCAACAATGTGTAAAATCAAGATTCAATTCATATACTTACGAACAAATGACAAATAATCTGCCACTCCAAGATCTTTTCGTATTGATATTGGATCCATTTCAATTTGAAATCGACAAAAATACTAAATAGTCTAATAGTTTACGCCTTTTGATATAAAAATAAGTAATATGTTGACACATAATGGTATTTACCCATCCGACATGTCCGATCATTCCTACTAAGGAAAAGAATATTTCTTGTCTTTCAATATTTACGTTACGAAGATAAAATTAATTAGTGCGAACGATTTAGTCTTATCTAACCAAACACTAAATAAGGCAAGATGACGAATGTTAATGAAAATCCTCGTGTCACACAGACCACGAAACACGTGAATCTTGTAACCCTAATTTCCCAAAGGACATTTCAGCAAGTTTGAGTTTGCAAATATGTGCAATCTTACAATGGGTTCATTTCAAATGCAGGTAAATAAAAAAGATATATATACAAATACGTAAATATTTGAAGCTTTAATCGAAAACCCAGTATTTCGCACCTAATTGATTTCTCATATACATACATACATTTGCATCTCAAAAACTTTTAGGCTGCATAAATTACCGGCAGTAACCAGTATTCAAGGAGTTTATTGTTTAACGCGCCAACCTCACACCCATCAGCCTATTGAAACACAAAACTCTAATCGGTTGCAGCGACATTCCGACAGGGTCATCCATTGTCATGCGACGACGCGAATTTCTTTCCTGTAACCTCTACCAAACATAAAATATCAAACATCACGCCTGCGAGATACAACTCTCACTTACTACTATACTCATTCATTTACTACTGCTTGTTATTATTACCCTTCGGCTTTTTGTCTGCCTAATTGGGTTTGGGGACAACACTCGATGCATTAATATTTCACCAAATTTCCCTGCACACTTGACTAACCATCACTAATATGGCGATAATCCCACATGGAATATGCGATGCGACCCCGATATTACTAGGAACCTTACGTTAATGTTAAAAAATATTCAGGAATAATTGTTCATTTTGTAGTTAAACATAAAATTCTGTCCATATATTCTCTGCGAAGATGGTGGATTAGGATTCCACATGCTGGGGGACTACCATACTACCGCTTATGATCACATAATTAAAACGTTGCACCAGCTTATTTTTCATGTCTAACTTTTGAACATGAACAAGAGTCATCTTTTTCTTACTAGTAATAAACACAAGACCTCATCCCGTGTAAATGAGGTTCCCCCACAAGTAATTTGGCTAATTTGTAAATATATATGGCGTTGGCTGAACTCACTTATTGAACTACAATTACAACAAACACTTTGCAGACGTCCAACATATATTGCATTGTTTCTATTGCCGCAAGCAATGGCATCGTCATCTTATAATAAAACGTTGAAAATTTCATTGTTAAAATGATTAGTTTCGTCAGTTGTAAAATAAATATAGCTGCATAAGCAACTATCACAAAGTCACTCAATGAATGGGTAAAAGCTGTCAAAATATAGAAACAGAGTGTCGATACTTTAACTAAATAGCGGGTAAAATAATGGTAAAAAAGTTACGTGGGCACAGGGATGCGCTAAGCTGAGAGCTATCGGTTGAAAAGAGATGTGGATAGTTCAAGTCCACACTGCCAGCTATACACATGGTCGATAAAAGACCACCATTTACTATCAGTAATGCCATGCGACAATTTCCTTTTTTCAATTTCGATGAACTTCCATTATTACGTATGTCATTGCTATACCATAAATAACTATTTGTGAGATACTCATTGGAAATACCGTTATGGGAAGAACGACGTATATATAAATTGGTATAATATATATACCTCAATGAACGTTGATTCATAAAAGAAAAGCAAACTCTACAGCCTTTTTAGAGAGTCAATATTGAAAGAAATTCCATCAGAAACTATGTTAGATTGAAAGAGATATAAATCTCTACTTTTTCTCTAAGTTTAGCCGTTGTTCACATTTAACAATAATTCATGTCTTGTTATCGGGTTCTTATTCTTATTTTGCATGATTTTAATATAGGTGAATTAATCACGCCTGTGAGACAGATATTGTGGGTTTTCATTGAGACCATTTTTACACAAACGAATCTTCAATTGCTTCTAGTATATAAGTTAAATCAAATACAATACCAGAGGTTAATGTAGGGTCATTGCGTAACTCACAAATACGCTAGAGTTTATTTGCGTAAGGTAGTGCGTAGAATACGCCTCGGTTTGTGCAAATATACAATTAATAATTTCGCCATTTACATATGCTTCTACGTCAGCTGTAAACTTTTACGTTGTGGGTGTAGTTAGGCGGAGCTTATTTCCCATGCCAACAAGATGTAATAAAAATTATCGCTGTCTGGACGACACACGTTCAGTACATTTTGTCATTGTGCAAGAGCACAACTCCAAGAATTGTCGTAGAATTTTTGCATTTAGCCAGGTAGTTGATAAAGTTATGCTAATAAACAAGACCAAAATTTTGGAGCTATAACTTTGATTATTATTTAATAAATTTGGCTTTTAATTAGGTGATTATAGCGATTTTACATTTTAATTGTCTTTGTACATACTAACATCTATAAAATAAACACGATGGATATATGTTCTTAAAGCAAGAAGAAGTACATGTATCTGCAATAATTATCGCCTGGTTTTTATACCGCATTTTCTTTTTAATATATCTAGTTTTATTAATTTATTCAAAATTAAGTGTACATTGTGGTTGTCTCTATCGCTGTTATTGACATGAATTCCTATGTAAAAGCCGAAATTTCAAAATCAAGAGTTGTTTTGAAAGATAATAAATATACTGGAATGGTTATTGCTATTAACCCACGAGTACCAAAAAGCAACGATCTTATAGACAAAATAAAGGTAGGGGATTTAGGATAGTAGATCTCTAAATGAGGCTCGATTGAGAACAAAGCTGATGATTTGTTTATAGTAATTTTAGTTGCTATTCTTCTCCATTAGAAGCAATTACTAAATAGGCTATAGATTTGATTTGTTTTTGCCACTCATTTCAGTGGTTGTATGGTTCGCTTGTATCCAAATATGAATCTAAACTGGAGATTCGTTTTTGCCGAAATATTATATCGGTACATTTTAAATTTAGCTAGAGATACAGGTGGACAAAATAGAAGAGATCATGTTGTTTGATTTATTCAAACCATCATTTATCATCTTTATCGCAAGTCCAGTGTCAAGCGCTTTCTATTCGCATCTCTGTCACATGGGAGTTTATTAGTAATCTTTTCACCCACTTTCAAATAAGATTTTTGCTTCAGGAATCGTGGATAGAAGCTTCGGAGTCACTTTTTGTTGCAACAAAAAGGCGGGCTTATTTTCGAGAAATAACTATTCTTGTACCGAGTACATGGACTGGTTATATCGAATCAAAGAGAGCAAAGGGAGAAACATATCATGCGGTGAGATATTGCGAAGAGTCCATTTTATGACATATTAAATAAAAAAATAAGATCTAGCTCACTGATGAAAAGCTGTCGGTGGATATTTTCGAAGTACGTTCAATAGTGCATACTTCAATGCTCATTTGCCAAAGATGTTGAACAAATATCACCTCATATTGTCTGATGAAATTTAAATCTTTTATTTTTATGACAGTTCCGATTTTGACAAGATGCTCCGCGCCCGCCCCGTCCCGGTGATGCAGTATGGAAGTTGTCTTTTTTTTTTATCAGCAGCTCAATTATCACTGTCTGCGACTAGATTCGATATTTCAATATTTATACACGGGTTGAATACTGTATTACTAAAACTCTGAACCAAACTAAGTTTGTCAAACCGTAACTGTTTTAATATATCTATACGGTAAGCGTAGCATTGACCCATAATGCGGTCCGGTTTTACGAATTTACCGGAGTATTAAAAAACTCACGTGAAGATTTAGTTTATTTAAACCAATATTAAGATTTTTGGTCATTAAAGTAACACCAAGAGAACGATTGCGAAGTAAAACAAGAATCAACGAAACAATGACAACAAAGAGTACAGTTCCAATGACAATCATGAGCAGGGTCGGTTGGTCGATACCTAAAACAAAACGTCAGTTAATTTGCCAATGACGATCGATGCATCCCAAACGTGCTGGGTATGAAGATCTTACCTGAAGGACTACTCGATGGTGCTTCTACGGCTCTCGGCATTTCTTCATCATTTGTCTTAGTACAAGACCAATTTTTCCATCGGGAATTTCAACGTCTTCCATACCGTTAAGGTGGATGTTGGGCATTCCAATCGAACCATTCAGCAATAGAATTGGTCCGAGCGCAATAGGAGCAGAATCGACACTTCTTCGTTTACGCGATAGAAGGCATCTGTTGACGCTGGCATTGTCCGAGCAAGTCTGAAATGACGAACAGCGATTAGCTTTATAGCTTTAAGGGTAACCTACACGTAACAAAACAAAACTTACGCCTACACTTCCTCTGTCACAAGAAATCAATTTTGCATGGATATAAAACTCTTGGCATGACATGCTTCTCGGGGTCTGGAACGATACACAAACGGTATGGCCAACGGCGCTGGTGGTTATTTCACATGGAAGCCCAGCTGTGGTGCCACATCCAGATTTAACAATTCCAACAATATTGGCCGTGGATGGCACAGGGCTGCATGATAAATACATTTCGTCGATACCAGTGACCTGGTTTCCGGACTGCAAAATAAAATCAACAATAATTCTCATTCCAACTGAAAAAATACTTTTGCAGAACTGGGGAAGAACTCTACTCACATCAAGTGACATTGTAACATGCATCATTTCTCCAACGGTGTAGACAGCCCCTCCACTCACAGCAAAATTTGTAGGACAAGTGCTTGGACACGCGGGCACCTTGCATAACGAAATGCTAGGTGTTATGATTGGCGGCCGGTTATCACAGCTGGTGTGCTTACCCTGAATGAAAATAATAAAATTTTAGGTAGGTCAAAGTAATGAGACTTTTTACCAAAATAGTTTTACTTACACTGGGCGGAGTGAAGTCACCACCCTATATTGCCTTTCTATCTACACTGAAATTCAGCCACAGGAATAGGCATATCGAACATGGAGTTCGCAAGACGACGATTGAACCACATCTGATTAGTGAAGACAACCTGTCCACCGACTGATGTCATTTCCGTCCCACATGTACTAAATGGAATTGGGATTTGAATTCGTAAAACCATTGACAGCGGCCGCGACTGAAATGCAAGAAAATCGATTTCAGTACTCGGTTTAAGGTACACGTCTGCGTTACTATACCGAAACAAATACCTTCGCATCCTTTGGTGTCACCAAGATTTCTGACGATGTTGATGAAGCTGTTTCTCAGTCCAAGGTCGTATTCACGGACAAAGCTTTCCGACACAGAAAACACGATGCGATTAGTCTCACAACGGAGAGAAGGCATTGCTGAATGAGTAAGGTTCCAAGAGTAATTTACGTACCGCAGCCACAGTTACATATTGACAGTTACTTACAATGGTGCAATTTTTGCCGAGATAACCAGAAGCAACTCCTGCAATAATATCCACCAGCGTGTTGGCACGATTCGTGACACTTACAATCCCGCTTGCATGGATTTGGAAAGCATGCTCCCTTTTTTGGACCGATACCTGAAAGCAAATGTGGAACCAATATGAGATTTTATTTTAGCGTACACGAGTTACAGAACAGTACGTACTACGTACCATCATCACAGAGCTCGCAGTGTTCACCCTACAGTCACCGAGGGCAAACCACATTTATAAGAACCACCATAGTTGACACACACACCACCGTTCATACACGGATTTCGGGTTTGAAAGAACAATACGTAGGAGAAGAGGAATCCATGAACGTTGGAGCTGCAACCTATAAAATCAGTTTTGGATTAGAAAATAAAACACAAAGCTTGCAACAGAAATAGCATACTTACCTATGTCCACGCCACACGACACATCAGGAAAAACTAAAAAAAAAAGGTTAAAACAACAGTTAAGTCACTGCTATCATAACAGTGAATCTATAAATAACAAGCAAACTCATGTAACCACATAAATACTAGAGCATCGTTATATTAGGACCGCATAGCCAAGCTGACTAGTTACATTATATCTAATACGATCTTTTTCGAGAATCTGCCTATCATAACGAAAAGGCGGAATAAAATAACATCTAAATTACTTACAGAAAACTAAGTGTGTAACTCATCTTGAAATAATAGTATCAACTTAACAAATTTAAACCAAGGAAACAAATGAACGCAACGGCCGACCAACAAATGTAGACGAACAGAATAGAAACCATGGCATACATTCTAGCCCTTTTATTAGACTAGGTTTCGCGTGACAGCAATCATTATACAGTGCTGTCAAGTAATAATCACTTGTAACCCAATTTCTCTTTTGTAACCTTATGCTCACTTCGATGTGTTATTGTTTTTGTATCAACATTATTTCAAAACTGGGTACCAATTGATGTTCTGACCTAAAGTCCCCCTGACCAGGTTAATGCATGTAACTATTATAAAATGGATATAATTTCCAGTCAAGAAAAGGGCCTAGTTCGATCAAATTATATACGACGGAAGACGTTTTTTTCGGGTTCGACATTGTCTGCGTTATTTTTACATACAAAGTGAAGTATATAATAATAACATGCATTTCAGTACGGAAACATTTATTAAAGTTCAAATCAGAAAAGGTAATTGAGTTCTACGAACAGGGCACTTTGCAATACAAAGTATTATTTTAAAGTAGTGTTCAGTACATTTGAAACACATAAAATAGACAACTTTTAGCTGAGGTTTCTATTATAATTTGAGGTGACAATGGAAAATTGAGTACTGAAGTTGAGAATCGTAGCTAGGCTTTCTAAGCAAAACAAAATGCATGTAGACAGGAATTATTTACTTTATTACTCTTTGTAGTTTATCTTGTCAGTTTCAAAACTTTGTCTTTCCAAAAAAACGAAAGTTAATTTCATTGGGCATAAATGGATTTTGTAATATTTGGCTAGACAATCAAAGTTCTTTCACTTCTACCCGACAATTGAACTTCTTGCTCCTGGTTTGTATTCGACTTCTCGCTCTTCTGGAAGTTCCGGAACCCCAAACCGAAAAAACTTTCGTACTTTTGGGGAATATTTCGTGTCAATAATCGGAACGAAACAACCTTGGATCTGATTTTGAAGCTGGTGTGTGACCTTAAATAGAAAAATTTCAATTTTTTAAACTTATCTAGAGACACGAAATATCGATGCGGGTTTATAGTACTCTATCTAGCTAACGTTGAAATGAGATTATCTCAAATTAAGAGACATTTTCAAAATGCTGAGTTCTCCATTTATTCCAAATTTTAGCGGTAATTTCCGACAGAGTCGCCCGAAATGATATTTCAACATGCTAAGTTCTTAATTTATTCCAAATTTTCAGCGTTAATTTCCGACACAGTTGCCCGAAATTATATATATATATTTCAAAATGCTGAGTTTTCCATTTATTCCAAATTTTAGCGGTAATTTCCGACAGAGTCGCCCGAAATGATATTTAACATGCTAAGTTCTCAATTTATTCCAAGTTTTTAGCGGTAATTTCTGACGAGTCGCCCGAAATGATATTTCGAAACGCTAAGTTCTAATTTATTCCAAATTTTCAGCGTTTATTTCCGACAGAGTCGCTCGAAATGACAATTCAAAAGCTAAGCAAAATGCTCAATTTATTTCGGATAGGTTACTAATAAGTTAGTGTGGTACAATACCCGAAATGAAGGAGGCGATGATTCCAACAACAATCGTAGTCACAAAACCAATCACCATAAGAAAATTGAAGTTGATGTTGTGTATATCTCGGAGAAAGGTTCTTCTGTTAAGCAAGAATCATTTTTTGTTGAAAGGGGTAAAACGAGTGTCCATGTAAAATTAAAATATAATTTATTTTTATATTATCTGACTAGAAACTACGCAAAAGTTTCAACGGCATCACGCAAGACACAGGTTTGAGTGCTGATCAAGGGGATAGCGTTTTTCCTAAAAATAACGATCTTGCACTGAATGAATGAAGTTATGTCGTGAAATATAAAAAAAACATTATTCTATTTAATTACAAATTCAAGTTTTATATTCAAAAGTTTTACTCTTGGATTTCTTCTATAGCTGTAATTGTCGACGTATCTGATGTTGTAACATTGTAATCGAAGTCATCTAAGGTATGATTTGCTGGACATAAAGTTGGTTGACACAGTGGTATATTAGCTCGATATGGATTTGGGTTGAAAAACTGTCGCCCTGAAAACAATTTGCTTCATAGTATTGCTATTGTAATATTTTAGTCGTATTTCGCACATAAATTCATTATTGCCCATAGGTGAGCGTTTCTGCCAATGCATGGTGCACTACATTTTTAAAATAAAAATATCATAACACAAATAATCACAACGCTTGCGTTGGGTACCGCAGTCAATCGTTTTTGCGTTTTCTTCAAACAGATGTTCAAAATCCATTATTCATATTACAATATTTTAAACCAAGTCGACGATGGAAGATAGAGAAGTATTTGGATCACCTAGAATAAAAACAGTAAAACTATTTACAAAATTGATCAACCCACCTATAAACAATAACGCCAGTAGCATGTAACCTGTTAACATTCCAATCATTGCGCCCTAAAATGTGACGAAAATATATCGTCAATTATGTTGTTATAAAGAATATTTATGTCCTAAATATAAAGAACTCACCATAGCATTTGCCCAAGGGAAGAAAAATCCTAGAAAATACACCGCAATACCAGGTCCATATGTAAGTGCGGTAAATCCATACACAAGTTCAAATGCATTCGCTTTTGATGCTGATATTCCAAATGCCAATAATATTAAAATTATCCCGAGAATTCCACCTATAATTACACAGTGTAAAATTATATTTATAAATTCGGTTTCGGAATACTCATGATCCATCGTTCAAGGTAAACTGCTCACCGGTAATTTTCCCAATAGCAACTTTTCTTCTCTCAGTCAATGAAGGCCATTTTGCAACAATAAAGTCTTCCAATATTAAAACAGATAATGAGTTGAGACAGGATGATATTGTACTAAAAAATCGTTGAAAAGTGTTATAAAAAGAAAGGTTGAAAAAGTAGTTGTTGGGTTTGTTGCAGTGTAACACCTATATGCAACTGTAAGTTGAATTGTACTATTTTTAAGTTAAAGATTCACTTGATAGTTCGCTGCGGGGTTCTCGATCTGAAGATATGCAAATTAGACCAGGGGTGGGCAAATTATGGCCCGGTTGCCATGGTTGGATGCACGCTTTAAAATTTATACATATTACCTTAGACTGGCGCTAAATATGGTTGAAACGAAAAGTCCTGCCATCCCCGGTACATTCTCAAAAATCTCTAAAGTCATATACGGGATTCCTTGATCTATATTTTGAAGTTTTCCCGACTTGACAGGGTCACATCCTTCATAGTATGCGTACATTATCAACCCATTTCCGACACTTGTCATTCCTATGATGATTGTTGGCACCACATAAACCAGCAGAGCACTGCGTGGAGAATTAAACGGAAAAGTTATTTATTTTTTTATAGCAAATTTTTTTGTGAAACATATTGATGCCCATTTTGCTACTAAGAATTACAGCATATAACTTCAAATAAAGTACGAATCTATAAAATGACTTAGGCAGAAGGAAATTTGGCAAGAGAAATTTACAACATCTCATCAATTTATAAACTACTTATTACTTATCGATTTTAATCGGTAAGTATGTTGATAGGTATTTGTCTGTCTGTTAGATGCACACGATATATGCTATAAATTCGTAATTACCAACGGGCTTTTCCTATTGTTTCACAAGCTTGAAATCTTTGCACAATCGCCTGTTCTACTCCAAGGCCTCCCAAACTCATGAAAAATATTCCTGCAATAATACCCCCTGGTGAAAGTCGCGATATTATACCATAGTCGAATCTGAAAAAAAGTTTGAAAAATAAGATAGACTAAGAAAGAACAGAGTAAAAGACGAACCGATGGGTTAAATTTATTATGTGATGTATACAGTAGGAATAGGGCTGCCAACTTAGCGTTAAGCCATTCCGGGACACCTTAATGTCTGAATTTGAAAATTGATGCAACAGAAGCTTGTGAAATACGAAAATACATCAAAAGCAACAGTGCCCGCTGCGCGTCAAAGAGTAATGTGCAATTTGATTTATTTAACAAAAATCACCCAATAATCAGTCCTTCTGGAATCTAAATTTGTATTTTTCTTGTGATTTTTCCGCTTCAAGAAGTTATTTGTCTTTGTTGATAAACTCATTACGTGACCTACGGTACGAAAGTTCAATTTCATCATCAGTTCAACTCTGATGAGATTAAAGTTTAGTTTGTTACTTATCGATTTTATTACTTATCGATTTTAATCGGTAAGTATGTTGATAGGTATTTGTCTGTCTGTATGTATGTCTGTATGTCTGTTTGTCTGTTAGATGCACGCGATATCTCACGAATGCGTGGTTGAATCTGCTCCAAATTTTGCATGTGCATTCATCATATCTCGGACCAGAAGCCTATGGATTTTAAATGAATTGTGTCGTATAATTAGCGAGTTATTAATTAATTAGTGATGAAGAGATCTGGATTTTTACAAAGCGAGAGATTTTCGGGACGCGCTGAATGTGTGTGTGCGTGACCGATGCGCAAGTTTTCACGCTAGTGAGTCAGAGCGAAGGATACACACCACTAAACCGTATCTCGTGATTAATCTTTAAGCATTGTCCATATCTCTCTTGTAACTTTGACGTCGTCGCGATGCGCAAGTTTCCTTCGAGAAATTTTCCATGCTATTGAGTCAGAGCGAAGGATACACTCCGCGAGATCGTATCTCGTTACTTATAATTACTCTTTTAAAGTTTAAGCAATGTCCATATCCCTCATTCAGGTTGGGGATTGCAGAATTCCTCACCAAAATATCGCTAGGCTGTGTTTGAATAGCCGTCGCAACCCGGGTTAGCGCCGTTGTATTTGACACAAAATAAAATTTCGGTAAATAGGCTATTGGCTGGAAACTAATCGAAACAATCCAAATCGGATTTGCAGAATTCTTCATAAAAGTATTTCCTCGAGTAGTATTTCGACGACGACATGGGTAGTTGGCTATTGTTTTCTACATTTTTGATATTGGCTGAAAACTAATCAAAACAATCCAGTTCGAGTTTGCAGAATTTTTCGAATCGAAACCGCAGTTTCTGTTTTGGAGGATCCCCTAACTTTCGATCGATAAGTCTTCGGTCTCTGACCGATATTCTCGTTTCTACTTTTGGTCCAAAGCGCGTTCATAATACTCTTTAACAATCATTAACACTCTTTAACAATCATTTTCATTTTTAAAAATATTCGCGTGATCCGGCTACATTCTTTTCCAGTTTGCGCGAAGCCGACACGCTTACACAGACAGTTAGATGGACTTCTATTTTAGAACGCTCGATTGTCAGTTAATTCCCGGACAACCGTATCCCAGTCCGGGGCACGGGACACCTGACGTCAATTCCGGGACGGTTGGTAGCCCTTAGTAGGAATATTGTAGAATAAAAGTTGAGCTTACCTGAAAGCTGTAAGCCGATCACCTCTCTCAATTGCACCATACATTTCATCAAACCCGCCAACAACCATGAGCCCTTTAATGAAAACCGCGACCATCCCCAATATCATGATGCCAGATTGTATAACGTCTGTCCAAATGACCGCTTTCATTCCTCCCTATTACGGAACACAGCCTTGAGGATAATTTTAGGACGCGTTTCAAAAAAGGAATCAGTTCATTTGGAACTACAAAACAGCAAAAACTTTTAATTAAGATAAAATTTATGTTGGCCCGGGTAGGGTTTTCATCATGACTCACTAGTATACTTACCTATTTAGGACTCTTATTATTTATCGATTTTAATCGTTAAGTATGTTGATAAGTATTTGCATGCTTGTTTGTCTGTCTGTCTGTTAGATGCACGCGTTATCTCACGAAAGCGAGATCGAATCTGCTCCAGATTTTGCATGCGCATTCATCATATGTCGAACCAGAAGCCTATTAATTTTGGATGAATTATGTCGTATAATTAGCGAGTTATTAATTAATTAGTGATGAGACACAGGGTGTCGCTATGGGGTAAAAGCGCTGTTTTGGGGATCCCCTAACTTTCAATCGATAAGTCTTCGGTCTCTGACCGATATTCTCGTTTTAAGTTCGATATAAAATTGTTTACCTACCAACGTTGTATACAATGTACATATTACACCAGTTAAAATGATACTCCATTCCATTGGTAGAGGTGTCACGGTGTTCAGAGCCACGGCAGGCATATACACAACAGATCCGACATAAAATAGCTAAAATAAATAAATGTACTTAGTCGTGAATTGTTTGAAGTTTGTAGGATTGTTCAAAAATGCACAGAAAAATAATGAAGAAAAGAATCGAGTAACGAACCATTTGATGCTGTGAAAAATAAAATTTAGAGTTGTCATACCGTTCCTAACGATAGAAGGGCCGATGTTGTTCTCCTCATTGTAGAGTTGTAACGCAGTTCCAGGTACTTGAAATAATAAATTTCAAAATAGTAAAATATATATCGTATATGTTGAAGGTAATACTTCTTTTTGGTGCTTTCTAGTTTTCATTGTTTTCAAATTGGCTGGTATATTGTAATCCCTAATATTATCCCAATATTTTAGAAATTTGGGAATAAAATGTAATTATTTTTTTCAAACCTGGTAAATTGTGTCCAGTTGTAAGCGATGATATAACGGTATTAAATACAGAAGAACGATTAGGACGGCAAGAATTCGCATAATTGGTTCCCACATCATGAGAGTCCCGGATATATAGGTTTCGGCGGGAGTCGCAATCACAACAATAGCTGATTGGAATGTCACAGCAAGTGAAAGGCCAACAGCAACCTGAAAAAGTTTAAAATTTTGTAATTTAATGATTCCAAAAAAAAAATGTATATCGCAAGAAATGTAGTTTCTATGTGAAAATATAATCGCTTTTTCCAATTTTTTTTAATAAACTTTTTTTTTAAATTATGAGAATCAAAGAAACTTATTTTTGAAGATATCATCTTTAGAGAAAAAATACCTTACCGGATTCATTTGCTTTCCCCCGAAAAAGTAATTTTTAGTTGTGGCATCGTTTCTATCCCTGTATGCAAAATATACTCCAATAATTGTAGATATTGCCATGAGAACTGAGAAAGATAGAATTAAAAATCTTACTTATATATTATATTATAATATATATATATTTATGTTATATATGATGTTCAATGTACATCTATGTTTTAGGTCCAAAGATTTTGACTTTTCTGTGTACTGTAACTTCCATAATCTAATCGAAATGCCGTGTGTTACTTTTATTCGTTTTTCTTCATCCAACAATGTGTAAAATCAAGATTCAATTCATATACTTACGAACAAATGACAAATAATCTGCCACTCCAAGATCTTTTCGTATTGATATTGGATCCATTTCAATTTGAAATCGACAAAAATACTAAATAGTCTAATAGTTTACGCCTTTTGATATATATTTGAAAAAGAAGTAATATGTTGACACAGATAATGGTATTTACCCATCCGACATGTCCGATCATTCCTACTAAGGAAAAGAATATTTCTTGTCTTTCAATATTTACGTTACAAAGATAAAATTAATTAGTGCGAACGATTTAGTCTTATCCTGACCAAACACTAAATAAGGCAAGATGACGAATGTTAATGAAAATCCCTCGTGTCACACAGACCACGAAACACGTGAATCTTGTAACCCTAATTTCCCAAAGGACATTTCAGCAAGTTTGAGTTTGCAAATATGTGCAATCTTACAGTGGGTTCATTTCAAATGCAGGTAAATAAAAAAGATATATATACAAATACGTAAATATTTGAAGCTTTAATCGAAAACCCCAATATTTCGCACCTAATTGATTTCTCATATACACATACATTTGCATCTCAAAAACTTTTAGGCTGCATAAATTACCGGCAGTAACCAGTATTCAAGGAGTTTATTGTTTAACGCGCCAACCTCACACCCATCAGCCTATTTGAAACACAAAACTCTAATCGGTTGCAGCGACATTCCGACAGGGTCATCCATTGTCATGCGACGGACGCGAATTTCTTTCCTGTAACCTCCACCAAACATAAAATATCAAACATCACGCCTGCGAGATACAACTCTCACTTACTACTATACTCATTCATTTACTACTGCTTGTTATTATTACCTCTTCGGCTTTTTTGTCTGCATAATTGGGTATTGGGGACAACACTCGATGCATTATAATATTTCACCAAATTTCCCTGCACACTTGACTAACCATCACTAATATGGCGATAATCCCACATGGAATATGCGATGCGACCCCGATATTACTAGGAACCTTACGTTAATGTTAAAAAATATTCAGGAATAATTGTTCATTTTGTAGTTAAACATAAAATTCTGTCCATATATTCTCTGCGAAGATGGTGGATTAGGATTCCACATGCTGGGGGACTACCATACTACCGCTTATAATCACATAATTAAAACGTTGCACCAGCTTATTTTTCATGTCTAACTTGAAGTATACAGTAACATGAACAAGAGTCATCTTTTCCTTACTAGTAATAAACACAAGACCTCATCCCGTGTAAATGAGGTTCCCCCACAAGTAATTTGGCTAATTTGTAAATATATATGGCGTTAGCTGAACTCACTTATTGAACTACAATTACAAACAAACACTTTGCAGACGTCCAACATATATTGCATTGTTTCTATTGCCGCAAGCAATGTCATCGTCATCTTTATAATAAAACGTTGAAAATTTGCATTGTTAAAATGATTAGTTTCGTCAGTTGTAAAAATAAATATAGCTGCATAAGCAACTATAGCAAAGTCACTCAATGAAATGGGTAAAAGCTGTCAAAATATAGAAACAGAGTGTCGATACTTTAACTAAAATAGCGGGTAAAATAATGGTAAAAAAGTTGCATGGGCACAGGGATGCGCTAAGCTGAGAGCTATCGGTTGAAAAGAGACGTGGATAGTTCAAGTCCACACAGCCAGCTATACACATGGTCGATAAAAGACCATCATTTACTATCAGTAATGCCATGCGACAATTTACTCTTTCCAATTTCGATGAACTTCCATTATTACGATGTCATTGCTATACCACAAATAACTATTTGTGAGATACGCATTGGAAATACCGTTATGGGAGGAACGACGTATATTATAAATTGGTATAATATATATACCTCAATGGACGTTGATTCATAAAAGAAAAGCAAACTCTACAGCCTTTTTAGAGAGTCAATATTGAAAGAAATTCCATCAGAAACTATGGTTAGATTGAAAGGAGATATATATAAAATCTCTACATTTTTTCTAAGTTTAGCCGTTGTTTGCAATTTGACAATAATTCATGTCTTGTTATCGGGTGTTCTTATTCTTATTTTGCATGATTTTAATATTAGGTGAATTATTCACGCCTGTGAGACAGATATTGTGGGTTTTCATTGAGACCATTTTTACACAAACGAATCTTCAATTGCTTTCTAGTATATAAGTTAAATCAAATACAATACCAGAGGTTAATGTAGGGTCATTGCGTAACTCACAAATACGCTAGAGTTATATTTGCGTAAGGTAGTGCGTAGAATACGCCTCGGTTTGTGCAAATATACAATTAATAATTTCGCCATTTACATATGCTTCTACGTCAGCTGTAAACTTTTACGTAGTGGGTGTAGTTAGGCGGAGCTTATTTCCCATGCCAACAAGATGTAATAAAAATTATCGCTGTCTGGACGACACACGTTCAGTACATTTTGTCATTGTGCAAGAGCACAACTCCAAGAATTGTCGTAGAATTTTTTGCATTTAGCCAGGTAGTTGATAAAGTTATGCTAATAAACAAGACCAAAATTTTGGAGCTATAACTTTGATTATTATTTTATAAATTTGGCTTTTAATTAGGTGATTATAGCGATTTTACATTTTAATTGTCTTTGTACATACTAACATCTATAAAATAAACACGTTGGATATATGTTCTTAAAGCAAGAAGAAGTACATGTTATCTGCAATAATTTATCGCCTGGTTTTTATACCGCATTTTCTTTTTAATATATCTAGTTTTATTAATTTATTCAAAATTAAGTGTACATTGTGGTTGTCTCTATCGCTGTTATTGACATGGAATTCCTATGTAAAAGCCGAAATTTCAAAATCAAGAGTTGTTTTGAAAGATAATAAATATACTGGAATGGTTATTGCTATTAACCCACGAGTACCAAAAAGCAACGATCTTATAGACAAAATAAAGGTAGGGGATTTAGGATAGTAGAGCCTCTAAATGAGGCTCGATTGAGAACAAAGCTGATGATTTGTTTATAGTAATTTTAGTTGCTATTCTTCTCCATTAGAAGCAATTACTAAATAGGCTATAGATTTGATTTGTTTTTGCCACTCATTTCAGTGGTTGTATGGTTCGCTTGTATCCAAATATGAATCTAAACTGGAGATTCGTTTTTGCCGAAATATTATATCGGTACATTTTAAATTTAGCTAGAAGATACAGGTGGACAAAATAGAAGAGATCATGTTGTTTGATTTATTCAAACCATCATTTATCATCTTTATCGCAAGTCCAGTGTCAAGCGCTTTCTATTCGCATCTCTGTCACATGGGAGTTTATTAGTAATCTTTTCACCCACTTTCAAATAAGATTTTTGCTTCAGGAATCGTGGATAGAAGCTTCGGAGTCACTTTTTGTTGCAACAAAAAGGCGGGCTTATTTTCGAGAAATAACTATTCTTGTACCGAGTACATGGACTGGTTATATCGAATCAAAGAGAGCAAAGGGAGAAACATATCATGCGGTGAGATATTGCGAAGAGTCCATTTTATGACATATTAAATAAAAAAATAAGATCTAGCTCACTGATGAAAAGCTGTCGGTGGATCATATTTTGAAGTACGTTCAATAGTGCATACTTCCAATGCTCATTTGCCAAAGATGTTTGAACAAATATCACCTCATATTGTCTGATGAAATTTAAATCTTTTATTTTTATGACAGTTCCGATTTTGACAAGATGCTCCGCGCCCCGCCCGGTAGACTTAAATGTCCCGGTGATGCAGTATGGAAGTTGTCTTTTTTTTTATCAGGCAGCTCAATTATCACTGATCTGCGACTAGATTCGATATTTCAATATTTATACACGGGTTGAATACTGTATTACTAAAACTCTGAACCAAACTAAGTCTTGTCAAACCGTAACTGTTTTAATATATCTATACGGTAAGCGTAGCATTGACCCATAATGCGGTCCGGTTTTACGAATTTACCGGAGAATTAAAAGACCTCACGTGAAGATTTAGTTTATTTAAACCAATATTAAGATTTTTTGGTCGTTAAAGTAACACCAAGAGAACGATTGCGAAGTAAAACAAGAAGCAACGAAACAATGACAACAAAGAGTACAGTTCCAATGACAATCATGAGCAGGGTCGGTTGGTCGATACCTAAAACAAAACGTCAGTTAATTTGCCAATGACGATCGATGCATCCCAAACGTGCTGGGTATGAAGATCTTACCTGAAGGACTACTCGATGGTGCTTCTACGGCTCTCGGCATTTCTTCATCATTCTGTCTTAGTACAAGACCAATTTTTCCATCGGGAATTTCAACGTCTTCCATACCGTTAAGGTGGATGTTGGGCATTCCAATCGAACCATTCAGCAATAGAATTGGTCCGAGCGCAATAGGAGCAGAATCGACACTTCTTCGTTTACGCGATAGAAGGCATCTGTCGACGCTGGCATTGTCCGAGCAAGTCTGAAATGACGAACAGCGATTAGCTTCATAGCTTTAAGGGTAACCTACACGTAACAAAACAAAACTTACGCCTACACTTCCTCTGTCACAAGAAATCAATTTTGCATGGATATAAAACTCTTGGCATGACATGCTTCTCGGGTCTGGAACGATACACAAACGGTATGGCCAACGGCGCTGGTGGTTATTTCACATGGAAGCCCAGCTGTGGTGCCACATCCAGATTTAACAATTCCAACAATATTGGCCGTGGATGGCACAGGGCTGCATGATAAATACATTTCGTCGATACCAGTGACCTGGTTTCCGGACTGCAAAATAAAATCAACAATAATTCTCATTCCAACTGAAAAAATACTTTTGCAGGACTGGGGAAGAACTCTACTCACATCAAGTGACATTGTAACATGCATCATTTCTCCAACGGTGTAGACAGCCCCTCCACTCACAGCAAAATTTGTAGGACAAGTGCTTGGACACGCGGGCACCTTGCATAACGAAATGCTAGGTGTTATTGATTGGCGGCCGGTTATCACAGCTGGTGTGCTTACCCTGAATGAAAATAATGAAATTTTAGGTAGGTCAAAGTAATGAGACTTTTTACCAAAATAGTTTTACTTACACTGGGCGGAGTGAAGTCACCACCCTATATTGCCTTTCGTATCTACACTGAAATTCAGCCACAGGAATAGGCATATCGAACATGGAGTTCGCAAGACGACGATTGAACCACATCTGATTAGTGAAGAC